ACGGGATTCTCATCCATAAATCTGGAGCGACGGTGCAAAAGATTGTGTTGCCAACAGGATATCCCTGAATCATCCTGCGAATCCCAACAGGATTTCCCTATTTTCATCATATATCTATGTTAAGGAGGTATGTGACGCAAATCATTCAGCCAACATCCGGCAGGTCGTCGAACAAGGCGATAGCATTTGCTCTCCTGGCAGACGTATCATGCCCGATGTCAGGAGCTGCTGCCGCCCCCGCCATGTGCTCTCGCGAGGGCTAGGTGACGTCCCCCCGCGAACCCGTAGCCGCGCCCAATTGGCTAACAACCCTTTGCCACACATTTCCCCTTTAATGCAAAAGGGTCCCATTTTCAGCACAAGCTTCCGTCTGTTTCACGCCGACGACTCCGCCTCCGATTCCATCGAATCTGACGAGGTCACTTCCCCGGAACTCTCTTCTTCCGGAGATCCCCCTGCCACGGTAGCGTCCTTACCGAAGCAGTTCTTGCATGTCCTGGGATATGTACTGGCATCGGGAGGTTCATCTCCCAGGGTCTCATACTAGGCATAGTGCAAGCTGGGTTGCCTATCGCATTCCGATGGAGCGTCCGAGTACGGGAGCGCCCCACAATTAAAACAGCAAACATGCCGGCTACTTTCTCAGCCGACACAATTTCGGTGCCCTATATTTGCACCTCTTCCTCCTCAGACTCAAAGCCGACGTCGCCCATGTCGTTTGCGGCGTCCTTCACGTCCTCGCCTACCTCAGGCTCAATCAGGGGACCACCGGTCCAGTCGCTATCCACTTCGGCCTCCACGATGCCTCAATTGCCACCTCTTCCGGGTGTAAGCTCTCCAGGAGGGCCGCCTGCACTTCCATTGCCTCGTCCGGGTACCCCAGGAGCCCCCATGCGAATGCTAACCGCCTCCAACACCGCAGCCTCGTCCATGGGATCACCCCGGCCTCTGTTATCACGTAGGAAGGTGGCAATGATCTCCTAGCTACGAAAGATGTTTGCACGGGTAGTCCGTTCATAGCCTTCATCTATGGCTCGACACCACCTTCCCATCTGCCTTCTGACGTCGGTCGGAATCCTAGCAGTCGACGCCCAAGTTCTCAGGGTCGCACGCTCCGAATGTTCTCTCCACAACGTGTCGACTCCAGCAAAAAGCAGCGACGCTCTCTAGCCACCTTCCATCACCCAAATCTCCCCAAACAAAGCTTGGGACATTACAGATGCCGTCGAATAGTCCGCCATCCGCCTAGCAAACCCAGTCCTACAAGCCGTCGGCCATGCCAACATAAAATCACGAGTCAACATGCCGGTTTCCATTCCCATATGGTTCCAGATCTTCCAGTCCATCTCTAGAAGGGGAGTTGCAAGATCCGCTTTCCTGGGCCGGAAGTCTTAGACTTATGGATGATTCCCACCAAGTAATTCTCCCGAAGCTCCATGCTCCTGTTCGGTATGCCCTTGGTGTCGTCAAATCGAAGTCCAGCCCAAATCTTCACCAGCCTGTACCACGCGTAGGCCCTCGAAAATGGCAACCTGTCATCCGAGATCACCATCTCCTCCATAGCCATGACCACGGCCAGTGGCAGTAGAAGTGCCTTTCTCGAGGGCCTAATCTCGGATGAAGCCAGTTTCATCTGCGCCTCCTCGATGGCGTTACGCACCGCCGACGATCGGTGCAGGAAGGCTGACTCCTCCACTTCGCCGCCGAACTCCATGAACATCAAGGTCTTGTAGGCTGCCTCCGGTGCCGACTTGGCACAAGGCTCCTGAACGATCGCCTCGATGTACTCCGCAAACTCGCTGGGCGTAGATGGCCATGGCTTTCCGAAGGTCATCTCAAGCCATTGCCCGACCTTTTGCCACGTTTTGACATGCTTCCTCAACGTGTTCGGTCGTCTTCCTTTCGCGATCCTCATCATGAGGGACTCCTCCGTAGACCGGAGGACCACCGGGAGCTGGGCCTTCTTCATGAGCTCCCTCAACTCTGCAAGCCATCTATCCCTCTCGGACCTCTCGGTCATCTCTCGAAGCGCCATGTCCGAGCCTGCTAAATGAAGTTTCTTCCCCAGGCGAGTTGGCCATTTGAAGACCTGTGCCCACCAGCTTGATGCGCTCGGTCACTTCGATCTCGCCCAGGCCTTGCAGGACCTTGCGCCTCTTCTCGCGCTAATGCTCCACGTGGGCCTCCAGTAGGTCTTGAGAACCCTTGCCAGCATCGGCCCTGTGGATGTTGGCTGACCTCTTATCGCACTGCGCGATCAGGTCCTGCAGTGCTGCCGCTTCTTGACAGAAGCTCTCCTTCTTCTTCCTGGCGGAGATCAAGACAGTCTCGAGGATCTTGGCACCGCAACCTCGAAGGGTGGCCAGTTTGGTCACTGACCACCCCAACTCCACCAGGACCTCCAGGTCAGGATCTGTCCACCCTGCCAGCGCACCGCAGAGGGACAGATCCTCCATCGCGGCAACGCTGGACCCCTCCTGATGCCGAAGAGGGGCCTCGAGCCGCGGAGCTACGCGGTCGTTTAGTGACAATCCCCAGCATGATTCTCATGAGTCATCATAATCGACATATAAAATAATTCGAAAAAATAAAATAAATATGCCTCAAGAATTTAACAAAAAATAATTGCCTGCCAGCAAGCAAAAACCAAACGCTGATGGAGTTGGCGGCTGGAACCTGAATTTTTGAGATGTAATGCTGATAGCGGAACAGTACATGTTTTTTTTGTTGTTGGGTGCGTCTTCCCAGGTCAAAGCCTCACATTGCAAAGAAGAGACAAAAAATAGAAAGCGTTGGTGTAGTTGGCTGGTTATGTGACAGAATATTTCCACCAAAAAGAAAAGAGGAAAAACCAGTGTGTAAAGAAGGCACGATTGCAATTTGGGGGTTCTCGGGGTGAAGGTGCGGGAGGTGCAGGTGGCGCAGCTGGTGTTGTTGCCAGTTTCGCATGCCAGGGCCTCAGCTATCAGGTTTTTGCTCACGAGTGCATCGTCGCATTTCTTGTGTGACTTTAGAAGACAATAGCAGTAGAGTGAACATGTTCCACCCAATTCTTTGACCCAGTGCTTAGACACCCCAGACAGCAGGCAAGGCTCTACAAAAGGGTATAATAGAGTGATAGCGAGCTTTCACGCACGTCTTGCACAGGCTGGGAGCTCCATCGCCATTCCAGCAGGACTGGGTGGACAAGCTGTAGGTTGCAGGTGGCGACAGTGTGTACTGTGGGTCTGTAGCCGTTTCTGGCTTTCTAGTCCTCGATTCCCGTTTTCACGGTAATAATCTTATTATGTTGTTAGACTTTTTTGCAGTGGGATTGGAATTAGTTAAATTGAATTTTGTCGTCAACCTCGAATCATTCATTGAATTTTATTTGAACAATAAAAAACCTGAAGAGACGAATTGATTGATTCCTGGCCTTCCCAAGCGGCACCGAAGTCGTTCCAATGCATCCGCCTGGGAACAACAGCATGCAACACCTTTTACAAAGCAACCTTGTTGATCATGTTGCTTTCATGATATGTTTACTATTGCTTACTTGCTTTATCACAGAACACAGGCAGGTCATTCCTGACTCCATGCTAGTAACAAGTGCCTCGCTAGTAGTAACAGGTGCCTTACTAGTAACAAGAAGCTAGTAGTAACAAGTGCCTCGCTAGTCTGGACTCCGGGGAACAGGCTGGGGCGATCTTTTCCACCATCTGCGAGAGAGGAAGCACTTGTGAGTTCCGTCGCTTCCATCTAGAAGCGACGGAACAACACAAAACTAGAAGTTCTGGTGACTACAATGCACTTGGAACATCTTGGAACATCTTGACCCTTTTAGAGCATTGCCACCAAATGAACATGAACTCGTTCTTGACAACTGTGCACACTTCGTGGATACAGGTTCTGGAAAGATCCAACCAGACCGACAATTCCACGCGCTTGTAGCGCCGTACTCCCACCTTGAGCATTTGCAAAGCTGAGAGGACCTCAAAAAAGCTTGACAGCTTGCAAAATGAAAGCTGTCAGCTGGGCACTAACAACAGCTTCATGGACCATCTGATACTCTGAGATCCTATCTTGTGTTGGAGAAACTTCGGAGGAATGCAGCTCCAAATATTCCACTGCCTGGAAAAAAAGACTTCAGATTTGCAGCCTACATGTGAGTTGATTATTTTCAGCATAAAACCGGATGCATATTTAGTTCAAACATGTTCAAACGCCTCAATGACCTATGAAGCAGAGTTGAGAGGCAGGTTGATTTGGATGCAAATATTCTGACATCTGTCAGCCAAGAACTACGCATCCAGGCATTCTGGCCTCAAAAAGCATTACTTCTCTTCGGAGCTCGGCTGCTCTCTCGAAGTGTGTCTGGCAAGTGGCACGTAGCGATTTGGGCACGGCCAAACCGACCAGAAACCGAAAGCATTACTTCTCAACATCCTTACACATCCTTCAAGCCCTTGACTCTGCTTGTGCTGGGAATCACAACAAAACAGACTTGTCTAAGTGTTCTGATAGGCTGAGATGGACGAATAGGCCTGGATGACTTTTCAAGGAAAAAAAAGAAGGGGATGCCGAGCAGAATGGTCTCAGAGCCAAGTTGAGCAGCACTGCTGACGCTGCCTGAGTGACCTCTGTCTTCGTCTCCTTAGATGGGATAAAGAGTTTCTCTAGTGTTCCTCTTTGTCGACGAGTCATGATGTATCCGATTTTTTGACCTTAACCAACAGAATTAGGGACAAAGGGACCGGAAGCTGCACAAGCTCATATCCATTTGCAACTGAGGGTATTGGCCAAAAGCTGACGGCACTCTTTCATCAGCTGTTCCCTTGGCCATCCGGGGGTTTCTGCTTCAAAGTACTGAACGTGATGTCAAATAGAATAGTACGTTGCACAAATAATGCACGAATCGTTTCCTTGAGTCTTGGCCCTCTGCGTGCGGGCCTGAAGCTCCTCCTGAAACAAATTGCACACCAAACAGCGCTCCAGAATAGGTGCACAGCGGTGTGCAGCACCTAACATCGAACTGGCGGGGTCACTGCATCCTCGGAGGGCCAATGCAACACGGCATCTGCAGCTGTGCGCAGCGCAGCAGGCAAACGCTGCCTTGGCACAGGGTGTCGTCAGCGAGCAGCTCCAAGGGTCCCTCCTTCTGAGCTTCCAACTCCATCTTGGTGAGGACCTAAAATGCGTTCTCAGATCTGTTCACAAGGGAGCGAGACTTCTCGCTTTTCAATGTTGAAACCAAACATGAAAGAAGAGAAGATAATCGAGGAATGTTTCGGTCTTTGAAAATCGTTGGGTCAAGGAAAGGAGGTTTGGGAGCACGTCCGACTGAGTGGCCTCGTTGTGGAGGCGTAAGCGGAGCAAGGGATCCAATGGGGCCAAGCACTGACGCTCCACATCCCACGCCAGTTCACGGGCCTGCGAAAGAAGTGCAAACGAATTTCCATTTTTTCCCACCATTAAGTTAGAGGCTTTGGAGGCCATCGCTAGTAGGTTGAAGGCCATCGCCAATAGGTTGGAGGCCGTCGCTGGTAGGTTGGAGGCAATCGCAAATAGGTTGGAGGCCATCGCTATTAGGTTGGAGGCCATCGCCAATAGGTTGGAGGCCGTCGCTGGTACGTTGGAGGCCATCGCTAATAGGTTGGAGGCCGTCGCTACTAGGTTGGAGGCCGTCGCTAGTAGGTTCGAGGCCATCCCAAATAGGTTGGAGGCCCTCGCTAATAGGTTGGAGGCCATCGCTACTAGGTTGGAGGCCGTCGCTAGTAGGTTGGAGGCCATCGCAAATAGGTTGGAGGCCCTCGCTAATAGGTTGGAGGCCATCGCTACTAGGTTGGAGGCCGTCGCTAGTAGGTTGGAGGCCATCGCAAATAGGTTGGAGGCCGTCGCTATTAGGTTGGAGGCCATCACTACTGGGTTGGAGGCCATCGCTAGTAGGTTGGTAGCCATCGCTATTAGGTTGGAGGCCATCGCTAGTAGGTTGGAGGCCATCGCTATTAGGTTGGAGGTCATTGCCATTAGGTTGGAGGCCATCGTTATTGGGTTGGAGGTCATCTCTAGTAGGTTGGAGGCCATCGCTACTGGGTTGGAGGCCATCGCTATT